CTTGCCTGACTTCCGGGGGAAGACAAGCAGCTTGGACATGTAAAGCTTGAGCCTATCCACGTTGACCTGGAGGCTCTCGGCGCAACGGTTGCGCCGGCGGTGGTCCACCGCGATACCGATGGTCATAGCTTTCTTCACAGGGATCTTGGCCTCGCGCAGCTCATCTAAAGTGAAGCCCTTGCCGAGCCTGCGTGCCATATTTTGCCAATCCCTGGAAAAAATGCGGTGGAGCGCGAGTCATTGTTAAACCAATGGTCAAATCATACATGTTATATGGACTGCCGTTGTCTACCTCCATATGTCTCAAGAATATCCAATTCGTTCTCTGTCTCCGTCTCCGTCCATGCATCCGTCTGATTCCGCCACTCAGGAACACGAGCTGATTTGCCACCAGACCGTAATTCAGAGCGCAAAATGTGTCCTCTGTTTTTCCATGCGTGGAAGCTCTGCGCGGATTTCTCGGATTTGCGCTGGACCTCCTCCATGTTTGCCGAGCGCGCCAGGGGCGGCGCCAGAGGTGCCGACAGGGGGGCCAATCGCCGATGCAAGGATCCGCGCAGAGCTCCCAAAGCGTATAGCTGTGTAGTTTTACATGGTTCGAAGCGAGGGAATTGGAATGTTGAGAGGGACCAGCTCAGGGGGCAAGCCTCGAGCTGGAATCGGCGATGAATCGCCGACAGATCGGCGAAAGGCCCCCGACAGCGAAGCCGAACGCTCCTGGGCGGGGTGAGAGAATCGGGCCCCCGTCGGCGAAAAGTGGGCGGTAGGGGTCGATGCATCCTCCATGAGCCTATCCCCCCCTGACGTTGCCCCTGGCTTTCGGGTCATAACTTGGCACTCCAGCTGCCATTCGGGACGGTCCAGGCACCCCCAGAGCGTGCGAGGCACAACTGCTGGAAAGTATTCCGATGGTGGAAAGCCGCAGAGAATCCTCGAGAACAAATGAAGCCCTCGAACCTCGAAAACTTTGAAGCTCGAACCCCACCCTGAGCCCATCCCCCCTACGTTCCTCCTGTATTCCTTTTCCTTATAGATAACTCCTCCCTGTCGCACCCCGAGGCCAGTTGAAAGGACGGGCCGGACGTTTCGCCTGAGACTTCATCACCACTTATGATCCTGAAGCTGAGAAAGTGACAGCAATTTCACAAATGGAGGGCGGGCCGCTCCCAAAATGTGGCTCTCGCCTAGGCGCCGCGCACGTTTGTTTCAAACCTTCGCAAGAGCTTCACGGATTGAGGGCGGGTGCTTTTCAAAATGTGGCTCTCGCCTTAGCGCCGCGCACATTCGCTCTACAAATTGCAAGAACTTCACGGATTGAGGTCGGGTGGTTTTCAAAATGTGGCTCTCGCCTTAGCGCCGCGCAGATTCGCTTAACAAATTGCGAGAGCTTCGCGGATTGAGGGCGAGTCCTTTTAAACATGTGGCTCTCGCCTTAGCGCCGCGCAAGATCGTTTAAGCAATTTGCAAGATTTCCACGGATTGAGGGCGGTTCATTTTCAAACTGTCGTTCTCGCATTCGCGTCGCGTACATGTGTCAAAAAATGCAAGAGCTCCACTAATGCTCATGGCAAACGTACCAGACATGATGTTTTGGAACGAGTCAGGACTGCCAGCGCGTAACAGTTGCGTTGATTCGCGCTGTTGAAGTCCAAGGAAGGGCTTTCTGGCATGAGTCAGGATCTGTCATACATTGTATTTTGGAAACTGGACTGTTTTTTTAGAGGAGCAGGAGATGGGAGCGGACAGCGATAGTATACACAACGCATGGTCGTCGCAAGGCCGTCCTGCGAACGTGGCCGAAATTCCGGCCGGGGAAGAAGAAGCTACCTGTGACAATGATTGCCCGGGCGAGCGTGCACCCTCGTTACAATCCGTTGCAGGAGCAGCTCCGCCACAGGAGGGGCAAGCATATACACTGAAAGGCAAGCGGGAGCAGGGGAGAGAGAGGACGAGGGAGGAGGGAGGACAACGAGCAGGGAGGGAGGAAGACTGCACAAACGGAACCAACACTCAGCGCTGGTCTCCGCCACTGCTTAGGAGCACGGCCTCTGGCAAAATCGCGCGAACGCGGAGCGATACGAAATACCCCAACATCGTATCGGTGAGACCGGGTGGGGAACAGGGGGCAGGAGGAGGCAGCGGAGGAGAGGGGGGAAGGCAGAGACAAAACTCAAGGTCCTTGCGCGTCAGAGGCCACAAACCGCACTGTGGCAGCGCGCGCCAGGAAGCCTCACCCACAAGACAGCGGGGAGGGGGAAAGCACCAGGTGCCCTGTGAGAACGATATACGATATAAAAGTGAAACTCGCCAACACGCATAGGAGGAGGGGAGGAAAGAAGAGGAGGAGAGCCAACGAGCACGACCAGAGCCCCACTAGGAGCAGCGAGGCAACTGCCGAAGCCAGCGGGCTACGCCTGGTGCCGGCGCTTGTGCACCGAGCTCAGGAGCGCCATCGCGGGAGCGTGGCCCCGTGCGCCCTCGCGCAGAAAACCGCGGAAGAGCTCGGCGGCAGGCCCCGCCGTGGGAGTTAATCTCAAACAGTTGTGCGTGCGGTACAACGCGTAAACACTCAAGGCGCGGAGGGAGGAGGCCCGGGCGCCGCCCTCAGGAGGTGCGTCGATGAGTATGCGTCGCGTTGCAGGGCGGAGGGAGAGAAATACGTCCAGCTCGAGGTCGTGCGGTGGCCGCTCCAAGCGAAGATGGCGACGGCAGAGCCCATGGTAACACGGGCAGCGGGCGTAGTGCTCAATGGAGTCGTCGGCCCGCCCGCAACCCAGAACGCACGTCCCAGAACGCCCAAACCGTCGAGCCGCATCCACCCATTGAGGCCCACCCGCAGTACAGCCGCCAACACTCGGGGGGGCATGTGGGCCCGGATATCCTGGAGCTGCCGTCGATATGCTGCGCATCGGTGAGCCGAGAGAACCGTAGCCGGCCAGTGGTCGAGACGGCGCCGTAAGAATCGTTCTGCTGGCTCGGAGTGGGCAGGGCGGGTGGCGCGCAGGGCGCGTGCTTGCCAACCCTCTCGCTGTCCCTCCTTGGTTTCTGGATTCATGAGTGCCGCGGTGAGGTCGCCCTTCCCCTCGAACGCCGCGAGTGCGGAGTCCAGCGAAAAGAGGAAAGTACTGGTAGCCCACGGTAGGCGGGTTCCCAACCGCCGGATGCTGTCGAAGTCGGCGAGCAATGACCTCAAGGAGGCGGCGCGGCAGCGCACCCTCAAGCCTCCGCTCCGGCGAGCCTCGTGTAACGACACCCGTACTTTAGCAACGTCGGCTATCGCGAACAGGTCCGCCAGGTCCCGGGGGAAGCTGAGGGAGCTCACACGTTTGAGCAGGTCACCGGTGATCCAGTCCCACGGCCCTGGGAAGAGTTTCCGCAGAGCTCGGGCCTCCAGCTGGGGGAAATCGTCCGGGAGGGGGTCGAGCTGCAAAATGAAGGAGACCACGGAGGCGACGAACACCTTGTACGCCTCGATGGTGTGCAAAGTTCCCGCGCCTACCTTGCCCCACACGTCCGCGCGATCCAAGAACTTCCCCATAGCTGCGCTCCAGGACTTCTGACCGCGCCCTGGCCCCACCACGAAGCCAAGGTATTTCGAGCAGTCCGCAATCGACATCGCGCCCCATAGCGGCGCGCGCCGTTGGAGCTGATCTCGAACCTGCTCGTTGGACAGCTGCCCCAAAGGGATCAACACCGTTTTATCCACATTCAGCTCCAGGCCGGAGATCCGGGCGCATTCGCCGAAGACCTGCTCGAGCGGGCTCAGATGCTCCAAAAAATGCGGATCGACCAGCGCCGCGTCGTCGGCGCACGCCCGAAGGGTTACGACCGGGAAGTCGCGGGCGAGACGCCCCAAGAGCAAGTCCGCGGCCACTGCGAAGAGGAGGGGGGAGAGGGGGCATCCTTGCCGGATGCCGCGGTGGATCGGGAAGCCCTCGTACCAGGCGCCGTCCAGGACGATCTCGCAGAAGTTCCCGTTGTAGAGCACGTCGATGAAACGTCGCAGCCATGGCGGCCAATTCAATGACCCGAACACGGACCGAAGAAAGGAACGCTCGATGGACGGGAAAGCGGCCGCGAAGTCGAAGAAGATAGCGCCCCCGTCGTCCGACGTGCACGCGGCGCGCACCGCAGCCCCCTCGACGTCGACAAGGTTGGACAGCATGGACCTCCCAGTAATGAACCCGCGCTGGATGTCCAACACGCGAGGGCCCACAACAGGTTCAATGAGAAGCCGGACCGCGCTGGCCAACAGCCGATTGTCCGTATTCGTGACGTTCAAAAGACGGACGTTTGCTGGCTTGTAATACCCTTCGCCCGCGGGTCCCACCCCGGAGGGCTTTTTGGGGAGGAAGAAGAGCAGGCTGGAGTTGAAGTCCGCCGCAAAATCCTCCATGATCTCCTGGGCATCGCCCCCGGACAGGGCCGCGAAAGCGTCGCTCAAGACCTCCGCCGAGAGCCGCGCGTTGCACCTCCACGCCTGGAACGGGATGCCATCTGGACCCGGGGAGGAGTTATTGGAGCTCAAGATGGCCTTGCGAACGTGGCGACGAGAGAGGCGGAAGGAGTCCTTGAACGGCACCGCGTCCCTGAGTGGGCGGGTGTCCTCGTCCTCGTCCGTCCAGGCGCGCAGCAAGGCCGTGTCGATTCCCTTAGCTTTGAACACCTGCCCCCAATGAGAACGAAGAGCATTAGCCTTCCCGTCCGGACAGGTCACCACCTCCCCGTCGGGCCGCTCCACGGCTGAGACACCGCCGGCACGTCCTGGGGCAAGCCGGTAGATCAGGCGGGCGTTCTTCTGCCGGGCCTGCGTCGCGCGGAAATCGTCCTCGCTGGTGAGGTCGGCGTGCGACTTCCCGAGCTCGTCGATAGCGTGTTCCCTCGCCAATTGGATCGCGCGTAGCCGGACCCCCCGGAGATGCCGGGACATGTTGCCCTCGACGACGCACGGGTTGTCCACGTGGTCCCGCAGGGAAGGGCATCGTAGCAAGCAAGTGGAGATCTCGTGAACGCGGCTGGCTTCAGCTGCCCGGATGAATTTCATGGTGCGCCCCAGCCGGTCCTCAAGCGCGGTAGCGGCCGGAGGCGTCGAGCGCTCGCTTTCGATGCGGGATGCGACCAGGCGCACCGCCGCCTTGTACAAGCGGAGGCGCATCAGCGCGGAAGCCTCGGGATGGCCCTGGCGAGCCGCAAGATATTCCAACGCAACCCTCCTGGAGAAGTCTGGGTGCGACCATGCTGAGGACGGGAACGGCCGTAGATCGTCGTCGCCATGTTGAGGGGTGCGCCGAGCGAAGAAGACAGCCCGGTGGTGGGAGAGGTCGCGCCGCCACTCCAGCGCGGAGCACCGGATGTGCCTGTCCAGCTGGTCCGCCAACGGGAAGTTTGCATATGCACGGTCGAGGCGGGACCGCGCGGAGGCCGAGGCGTGGGTGAGCTCGCCTTGGAACATCTCCGAGAGGTTGTACCTGTCGCCGATGGTCGCCTTAAAATGCTGCTCATCGCGATTGTCCCGGTACCCCGTGTAGGTCATCGTGTTCAGCGCAATCCTATCCTCTTCCTTGGTAACGTAATTGAAGTCGCCCCCCAACACCGTGAGGCAATCTTCGGGGGGGGCCAGGGCGTCGCGCACTTTGCACCGCAAGCAGGAGCGCAGGTCGAAGTAGGAGTGGATGTGGCCATGCCTGGCGGCGGGGACGCCGTCAAGGTCCGCTCCCTCAGGCGCGCTGTGGTTGCCCGCGTGCGCGTAGACCACCACCAGGTCCAGAGCGCCGCGGGTGCCCCGGAGACACAACTTGGCGGCTCGACCGCGCCAGATGTGGACCCAGCGGGGAGGTTCCGAGAATAACCGGAGGAACGTGTCTCGAACGATCACGCCGACCCCGGCCTGCCCCGCCGAGGCCCCTTCAGACCTCCAAGCCGTGGTGCCCGGCGGTGCCTTCCATGTCGAATTGCTGGTCTCCGTGCCATGGGCTTCGGTGATCAAGCACGCGTCGGATTTGGCCATCCATTTCGCGACGTACGAGATCTTCGCAGTGGAGCGATATATGTCAGACGCAAAGAGAGCTTGGGCGTTCCACGTCGCGACGGAGAAGTCTCCCAAGAACTGCCCTCGCCGACGATCGAGGCCACTTGGCAGAGCACGAGGACGAGATACCGGCGGCGGCAAGATACGGCCAGCAGGAACAGCACCAAGCGCTCGCAGAACTCGCATACGTCGATAAATGTGCACCGGGACGTCACCGCAGGCGTCGTCGGCGTCGGGCGTAAGCTCGTCAGCAGAGAACAGGAGAGGAGGGAGAGCAAGGCGGGGCGCCATCGCGCTCGTGTGGCGCTGGCCGCCCCTCGCGCATGGCGAATCACGTGCGCGAGAGGGAAGGGGGGAGTGAGAAGAAGAGGGCAGAAGGGAGGCGTGCATAGAATGCTCAGCAGATAAATCTGGGTTGGCAGGAGACGGAGGCTGAAGGTCAGGCCGCGACGGCGAAGAAGGCGAAATGCAATCCACGTGGGCGCGGAAGACGAGCAGCACGGCGAAACCTGCGAAGCCCTCCCAATCAATGCACCGAATTCCGAGGTCAACGACCGACCTCGATCCCCTGAGGCGCCCGGCCTCGCGGGCTCCGGGGGCGCCTAGGGCCGGGCCCGCGGGTCGTTTCCCGTCTCTGCCGCGAGGTCCATCATGTCATTCACCACCTGCACGCGGATCATGTCCTGACCGACCTGGATCGCCTGCCCGTGGAGGGTCGTGTACAACATGGTGATGTCCGCCTTCGTTTTGGCCAACACCTTGATGACCCCCTGGCATGGGCAGCGCGTCACGGGGCACGTGGTGGAACTCCCCTGGTTTAGGGTGGTCGGAGTTCGTCGCCAGGGTGAGGGCGATGCCAGTGGCTTCGACGGCGTGGCGCATCAGGCGTGACATCGCCTCCTGGCCCTGCAGCCCCAGCTCGCCCTGAACCCGCACCTCCGCGATGAAGTCGGAGATGGAATTGGGTTTCCCGGCCCTCCGCTTGGCAGCAGCGGAGCGCGGGGCCGTCGCGGCGGCGGCGGCGATAGCCCGGCCACCGAATCTGGAGGGGCGATGTTTGAGGCGGGTCGCAGCGTTGCCCGGGTCGCGCTGGTAGATCGTGTCCAAAACTGCGGCCCACGTGTCTGGAGAAGCATCCGAAACCACGAAGAATCTCGTCGCGCTGAGCGCGGACATCTGGGAACACAGCGCCCAGTAGTGGTCAAAGACCCCTGGCCCATTGCATTCCAAGATGAACGCGTCCACGTCCGCTGCCAAATCCTTGAGGCCAAAGAACGTCGTAGCAGGAAGATGGGAGCGGCGGAGCTCGCGTAGGGTGGTGAGGAGGTCGAAATAAGTGAGGTGGTTGGGGAACACAACGTCCACGGACAGGCGCGGCACCCCCTGGGTGCTGAGGTGGCTCTTGCGGTGTGCCCGGGGCGTGGCACCGGCCACCAACGGATGTGCGAGGAGCGCCATAAGCACCTGCAGGTCGTCTACCAGCATGTCGAAGGTCACAGCGCGGGCCGCTTCGATCTGGAAGAGCGGGGTCATGGAGATCATGCGGGGGAGGCACCTGCCGCCGTTCAGCTGCAGCGAGAACATGCTCAGTCCGTGGTGCTGCACCCGTGGAGCCCCCGGCATCGTGGGCATTATCACCTCAAAGGGGAAGGAGATGAAGGCAACGTCCTTGACGAGGGGGACCCACCGTTCGGACAGCAGTGGGAACGAGCAGATGTCCGTGATGTTGGTGATGTTGGTGAGGCCCGTCGTCAGCGGGATCGTGGAGATCATGACCACTGTGACGGGGCGAGGCTGGTCAGCCACGCGCCGCAGGAGGGAGGAACGGAGGCGGGTCTGCGCGTTCTTGTCCTCGGGGATCCACAGTACGGGGACACTGCCCGCCAGGCGGTCCCATAGCTCCCCGTTCCCCTTCTCGGTCAGCGACGCGATCACCCTGCAGAGGCGGGGCTCATGCAGGGCAGGGTCACGCGCTTTGAGCACGTCAGACCATTGCGTGAAGAGCTCCACGTTGGGAAGGTTGATGTTCTGCTTGAGGGCGGAGATTGCCTCCAGCCCGAGCTCCCGATAGAGGGGCAGGCGGTCAGGCTTGATCCTCCGCCGCTCCTTGAGGATCCTGGGGAGCTCGTCCTCGCATTTGGGCGCCGCGGCGATGAACTCGTTCATGAGGGTTCGAGCCTTCGCTGCGTCGTCCTGCGGCCAGCCCTGCGCCGAGGAGAGGGAGATCACCTCGCAGGCGGCCCTTCCCCTGGCCACGATATCGATGTCCGTCGGGTCGGGGCCCTCGAGCCTCGCAAACCCTAGGAGCGCCCAGTGGTCGCGGGCCGATACGTTGTAGCCCAGCCGAGTCAAGATGGACACGAGTCCGGAGTAGTCCTGGGGGAGCTTGACGGGGAGCGACTGCGGGCCGGGAGCGTCCGACGAGGGAAGGGAGGAGTGCACCAGCTCGAAATGGTGCAGGACCTCGTTGTCCACCCAGCTCTGCAGGAAGATCTCGCGCGGCGAGGGGCCCTCGAGTCCCGGCGGTCGCACTGCGTCCGCTGGCGCCGCCGCCAGCACTGGGGCCGCCGGCGCCGCCGCTGCAGCGGAGCCCGCAGCATGCGCGGCAGCCGCAGTCCTCGTGATGGTCTCCTCGTCCACCTCGATGTCATCGAGCTCGGCCAACGTCTGCGACACCCCAGGGTTCTCGGTGCCGTTCATCTGGAGGTCCGCAACGCCCTGCGTGGCTCCAGTGCTCTGGTCGTCACCCATGTTCGCCGCCGCGGCGGCCGGAGCTGTCGTAGCTGGGGATGCCGCCGCCGCTCCATGCGTGGCGCAGAATTCGGAGCCCGGGACCGCCTCGCCTTGCACCCCGTGGCTGAGGCACCTCCGGCAGGGCGGCATGACAGAGCGAAAGCAGAGGAGGTGATGTGAGGTCAAGGGCGGGGGTGATGCAGCCTCGTCTGGGGCAGACCAGGCGAAGCAGGGGCTTGAGCCACTTGAGCCAGGCCTTGAGCCATTTTGGAAACTGGATTGTGAGAGCGCAGCAGTTCCGTTGATCCGCGGCGTTAAAGTCCAAGGAATAACGTTCTGGCACGATTCCAGATCTTCAATACGCAACAGTCATGTTGATTCGTGGCGTTGAAGTTCCGAGAATGTGGTCTTGGCACGCCTCAGGGTCTTCAAACAGTTGTCTTCCAACGAGGCATTTCCCTCAATGGAAACAAACCCCTGTAGGAGCCTCTGAAGAGGGAGCTTGGAGGGAGAGTTTTACTTCAACATTGTTGATGGGCCTTGAGTTTACACTGGTCCTCCTTGATCTCCTCTCCTCTCCTCTCCTTTCTTCTCCTCTCCCCTGCCCTCCTCCCGTCTCCTCCTCTCCCCTCCCCTCCCCTCCCCTCCCCTCCCCTCCCCTCCCCTCCTCTCCTCTCCTCTCCTCTCCTCTCCTCTCCTCTCCTCTCCTCTCCTCTCTCCTCCTTGTCCTCTGGGTGGCAGCAGGAAGGTCGATGGGCAGCAGCAGAAGAAGAGAGGGTAAGCCTGAGCTTCATGTTGTACCGCTGAGTAGGCGGGTGGACCACGGGACGCAACAGCCCGGCTGCGGGCCGGGGGGACAACTTGGCGGCCTTCTTCTTGCGGTTCAGGGCCCGGCGCTTCTTCCGCCCAGCCTGGTCCAGCCAAGTCTTCATCATGTGCCTCAGATGGGACGCAGAAGGGTATCCTAGTACTAGTCGACGGCGAGCCCAGGGGGAAGTGAGAGTGGGCAGGCCTCTCAGAAGGCGGCGGGGCTTCTCAGAAGCCCTGGTGCCGTCTGAGAAGCCTCGTAAGCCTTCTCCAAAGCCATAGAAGGCTTCTCAGAAAGCGGGAGGGTTTCTGAGAAGCCCCGCCGCCTTCTGAGGAGGTCTGCCCCTCTCACTTCCCCCCTGGGCTCGCCTCCGAACTATGCGCCCCCCTTGGAAGCTCGCGTCCGAACCGAACATATAGCACAAACATCTCGTAGTACACCGTTGCTCCCGCGGGGTGGCCAAACAGCACCCGTCATCGAGCACAAACCATAAAGATGTCTGAGCGCGCGTGCCGCCCCTGGAGGGGGCGACGCACACATAGTCGATACCAAGATCCTTGGGTGATGCCGATCAGAGAGAGAGAGAGAGATATATATATATATATAGAGAGAGGGAGAGAGAGAACAAAAAAAAACACATGCCGGAACCAGCTCCCCTCCCTCGCTCTCGCTTCTGCTTGGGACCTCCTCGGGGGGGGGGGGCCCTCGCCGCCACGGCCGGGCCCGCCCAGGAATCCTGGTCGGAACGCTCCTCGAGAGAGGTCGTCATGGGGGGGGGGGGGGCGGTACCGCAGCATCGGTGTACGTATCGTTCGGCCCTCGGCGCCTGTTCCATCGCCCTGGGCCCATCATGCCGTTCACCTTGCGGAAGTGCACATTCGGGATGACATTGTTTCCGCCGTGGCCCATGTCGACGAAGAACGCCCGCGCTCGCGAGCTCGAGAGGGAACAGGGGCGGGGAACTACACCGGCTTACTGCTCGAACCACTATGGCTAAGGGCTTTTAGGGTCCAGCGCACGGCAGATTTCACTATGCTCGTCTAGGACAAGGTCAGTCAGAATCTGTGAGCATTTGGGATAGCTGCTCAACAGCAGCCAGCACATAACACTTACCATGATTCATCATTATGGTTCCGCGGATTCTGCAGAACTTCCACTGGCCTCTGCTGGTGAAATCCTCCCTCCTCGGCGTCAGCATGATCAGCAACATGCTCTAATTACTCCTGTCGGCAAGGGCATGAGACCAAACGGGAAGTGCTCACATTCCGTTTTCGAAAATGTCGGGTCCATGGCATGGGCACTGAGGTTCGCAGGCCCGACCCCATTGCGCCTCGGCAGCGCGCGACTTAGATCTTCTGTCTGTTTGTTGATGGCTCCGCGAATAGAGCACAGGCGGCGGCAGGAGGTAGTTCCAGAGCAACGGGCCGCTGGGCATCCAGGAGCTTCGCGATGCTAGGACGTCGGACGAAGATGATGTCATGAGGCGGCTGGCTCAGGATACGTTCCGTGAGCTCCAAAGTATCTGGAGGCCCTCGTTTCTGGAGAAAGCTTGGAAAGCATCCCCAGACATCAGACATCGGATGTCTGGATTTCTTCGATACGCGGTCCCCGAAGTCCCGACCCATTTCCCGGCTCGGATTTTCATCCCGTTGTTCATCCCGAGTCTTTCTTTGACGGTGCCAGGCCTGGCGAGGGCCCCCTCCCAGACGCCAACCATTAGGAAAAAAAACGTCCTGAGTTTGTTCAATACGTTGGAGGTCTGGGTCATTATGATCACTTGCTGCTCCTCTGAGTCCTGGCAAGCGGAGCGCCCAACTGCAGGTCGCAGGCCTGGCGCTGCCAGCTCTTGTACGCTCTCACGCGGAAGGAGGCTGAGGCGTGCGGCGTCAAGTTGGCGGCACCTGACGAGCCCTCTGCAACCCTAGGCCACAGCTGAGCTGGACCTTGGCGGTGGCGCTGTGCTCCGACGCCGAGACGGGCCAGGAGGAGGCAGGGACGGAGAGGAGGGCGGAGAGGAGGGAGGAGGAGAGAGCTGGAGCGGGAGTCCTTGGAGCTGTGCTCCGACGCTGAGACGGGCCAGGAGGAGGCAGGGACGGAGAGGAGGATGGGGCGGCGACCCAAGGAGGAGGTCCGGCTCGGAGGCACCGAGAGCGTCGTCCGCGCCAGTCAGGCGACGGTCGTCAGTGGAGGTGGCGAGCTGGGAGCCAGCACCGACTTGGCAGCGCTGGTAGGCCGCCTGGTGCCGCAGGCGAGGCCCGCTCCCCTGGGCTCCGAGGGACATGCCGCTGGAGGGCGGGCGCCCGGGGCGTCGCCGGCATTCTCGGCCCGCTGGGCCACCAGGGCTACGGCAGGGCAGCGCGAGCAGCAAGGCGGGGGGTCCAGCTTCCACGGCAGACGCGGGGGCAGCCTCGCAGGAGGCTGGATTCACACGCGGAAGGGCACGTGCTGAATTCACACGCGGAATCCCGGCGAGCCTGGCCATAGAAGAGCCGAGGGCTGGAGCGACACCTGGCCTCACGTATATCCAACTCTCGACCAGGCTGGCAGCGTCATGTGAGTGTATCCAGCTTCCTGGTACCATTCCACGAGCAGCTACCGAAGGGCGACGTGGTGATCGACGTGGAGGACGGCTTCGAAGCACTGAGCCAGCCATCGCTTCTCAATGCGGAGGTGACACAACAGACAAGCGAGACCGCGGAGCTTCCGGGCACGATGGCGGCCCTTGTCCAGGCAGGAACTCTCTGGAGTTCTGGACCTCGCATTGAGAGCGCTCTGGGTGCCGAGTGCTGTGCTGTTTGAGATGGCCCCCGAGGGTCTCAAATGGCGCTCAAGACGCAACCCAGAGGCCCCCGAGAGTGGCCAATCAAAGAAGCGCGCTGACGTTAAGTCAGGCGTGTCCCCCTACAGGGGGCTTTTCTACGAAAATTATAA